CACCAGTTGTGGTCAGTGGAAATTCCCTGAAGAAGCCACAATATGAGAAGGCACAGGAATAGTTTCTTCCTTTACAGTGTTACTGGCTTAAAGGGCTACAATCTTCCAACCATCCAGACTTCTTGTAATTTTATCACCGTATTCTGCAGAAGTGAGTGGGAAAACTGTCATGGTGCTCACAGTCCTGTGCAAGTGTGGATGGGGAGATGTTCCTTTCAGCCTGTGTCAATTCTCCAGCTTCCCAGGACAATGGTACTTCATCTATTGGGCAGTAATGATTTCTGGAGGTGTTCTCCACCTGGCAGTAAAAGGCAAAGTGCTCCCCTGCCCATCCACAGTGTATTCGGATCAGGCCACATGGATTCTGGTCTTGCCTCTGTCAAGCCAGTTCACCTTTTTGGTCCTCAGTGTCTTCCTCTCTGAAATGGGGCTGCTTCCTGGCCTGCCTGCATTGTTCAGTAGAGCACAGTGGGCATTCACATCGTGGGCATTAGAAAGACTTGAGTCTATTCGGGATCACTATTCACTGTGCTGTGTGGCCTTGGACAAGTTAGTGAATCTCTGTGAACTTTTAGTATCTACTTCTATAAATGGGGTAATGATTTCTATATCAAATGGCACCTGTGAAGATTCAAGGAGATGATTATGTGAAATGATTTGCACAGTACCTGGCACATAGTAAGAACTTACTGAATGGTGGTTTTGATTATTTTTACCTTCCTAAGAGAATAGAGGTAGGAAAAATCATGGGCTCTAGAGTCAAGGAAAAAGCAGGTTCTAACCCTGCTTTCCCCTTAGGGCTGTGTGGTCTTGGGCAGGTTATCTGAGCTTCAGTTTCTTCATCTGTAAAATCAGAATAGGAATATGTACTTTGCAGCATTGTTACGATTTTTAAATGAAATCATATTATAAGGGAAAAAGGGATAATGTCTCGTTCCAAGGCAAGTTCTCTACAGCTGTTAATTTCCTTCTGCCCTTTTCCTATCTCTCTCAGTTAAGAAACTAAAATGGAAAACAAGCGGGAACATTTTGAAAAAATTTGACACATAAGTACTTCCTCTTGAAGGAGGCAGGATTGAAGAACAGTGAAAAGATCAAAAGATGAGTATCAGATTGAGGAAGCAGAGCATCTGGGGATTTGATGAATCCAAGCCCTGGGCAACTGGCTCCTGGTAATCCACTGGTGATTTTCCATTTCCTCAGACATTCATGGCTAAATGCCATGGATAGAGCAGAATCTCTGACCAGAGCTGAGTTCAAATTCCCCACTCCACCATTATGAGAGGGCAGACCTGGGGGCAGTTTCTCCAACCTTCTTGCACCTCAGTTTCCTCACCTATAAAATGGGGATAATTAATCCTTCTTCAGAGAGTGGTGGTCAAGTGCCTGGTAGAGGAGCTGATAGAGAGAACATGTTCAAGTCAGAGTTGGTTTTCTTCCTCAAAGGCCGAAATGCTATTGATTCTGAGTGTCATGATGTCTAGATTTCCTGAGTCTTGATTTCAAGCCTGATTGCTCTACTGTCAGACTCTATATCTAGCTATAGTTTCCTATTGTCCTTCGATTTAGCTTCTACCTGCTTCTTCTTTTCATCTTCTGCCATTCTTCACTTTAAGCATTGGTCTTTCATTCTCCTATGCACTGTCCTGGGCCATGCTCTGCCAAGAACATTCTATCCATGCCCTTCCAATGGATGCCTCCATTGCGTCCTTCAGTTCATCTCTTCAAAGGAACCTGGGTTCTTTGTCAACCCTTTTACTCTTAATCTCATGGCCATGTTATTTCTTTTATTCCAGTTATCACAATTTTAATTCCACATATTTATTTATTTACTTGTTTTGAATGTGTCTCTCCCACTGGATTGTAAACTCTACCAGGACAGAACCTCTACCTGCTTTAGTTGTTTTACTGAATGGTCAGAGCCTGCCATAAAAGGTTTTCAATGAGTATTTGATGTATGAATGAATACTAGCCCCTGCATATTAATTTAAGGTTTAAAAATATGGGCGTTACGGGCAGAAAACTTTGTGAAGAATTTGAGCTTATCAGAAGCTGCTCTGCAATCTTATTTTGGATAATTAAGCCCAGTCCTATTTTATTATGAGAAAATAACCAGCCACAAAACAACATCCATGGGAACAAGCTGGGATAGAAGCTTCAAATGAGGGGGGAAAATGGAGAGTTTTCTTTTCAGTATCCAAAAGGGGAAATGAATCTACTTCTTAAAAAATATTTAGCCAACTTTTAGGCCATAATTATTTCTGTCTGATTTGAGAAAGATGAGCTCTCTCTACTTGTCCCTGTTTCTGAATGAACAACTGCCGTAAACATGGGTTTCCAGTACTGGAAGGATCAAAACCACTAGCATAACTCACAGATAAAAGCTCGCAAGAATGTTATCATTCAGCTGAAAGTTTGGAGACTGAAGTCTCAAATTAGTTTTCTTCCTATTTTGAATGATGGTTTTGCTAAAATTTCTTAAAGATCTTTGCAGTTATTTCCACTTGGGGATGGAGGAAGTTATACAAACATGTGGGCTCATGTTGAGCTTGGGTGAGTTGCTAAGGCTGGTGTATTCAAAGACAACACTGATTTATTCATACAAAAAGAGTCCCGTCATCTGTGTGGGAAACAACACGTGGAGTTAGGCACACAGCTCATGAGGTCGTTTGAACAGGTAAGAGTTGTCCTTTTTCAGAATCTAGCCATCTTAAGGCAGGACTATTGCCTCCTAATTGGCCTACAGTCTCTGGGTATCCCCAGTATGCCTCCTATGTACACAAGCACTGCCATCAGATTATTTTCTTAACTTGTTTCAGTAATTACACCCACTGCCTGTAGGTTAGAGGCAAAACCCCTTCAAGGCTCGTGTTAATCTGATTTCAACCCAATGTCGAGGCTTGTTTTCCATTACTCCTGACTCCTTTACCCAAACTGTCCCACCAGATAGACAGGTGTTATTATTACTGACCCCTGAATAGGCCTTTCTGTCTTCCAGCCTCTAGGCTGAGGTCATAATATCTTTCCTTTGGTGCTACCCATCAGCTTTCCCTGGTCTTTCAATGATTCAGGTCTGCCCCGCCTTCTCATGAGGACTCCTGTCCAGAGTAATCCACCTCTGAGCTCCTTAAGGATCCATGATTGGCCCCCAGTCCTGCCATTAATCATGTTTTGCATCCCTTGGGTTGTTGTTTTACATGGTTATCGTAGTTCTTGTTGCTTACACTGTCACGTATGCCACAGTGACCCCAGAAATGATTTAGAGTAGGGGTCCTTCACCTGTGGACCAATAATTGGGTCTGATAATTCTCTATGCTATCAATAATTTCCACTTTCTGGTTAAGGTAGTCTGAGTAGGCATATATTCTTTGCAAACAAGCACTTCTTGAATAAAACAACTGTCATTGGAACATAATTAAGATAGAAATTCCCAACCTAAGGTGGGATGATTTTTCACAATTCTGTATGCTTAAGGTCAGATATGTCAATGTTCTAAAAGCATACCTGGGGCACTTTTTTTTTTTTTAAAGCAGATTTGAAATATATGGATCCCTTGGATCCACCTGAAACTCAATGCAATAGAATCTCTTGGGAATAGGTATTGCAAACATAATTCTCAAATGATTTTTACGCCTATTCAAGAATGTTTAGGGGATCAAGGGAAGCTGACATAATATCCCTCATATGATGGGGAAGGGAAGTAGAAGAGGCAATAATTCATATGCTTTGAGTGCCTATTATGTGTCTGGAAAAATATTAGGAATTTTCACCAGTGATCCTTGTAATCCTCAAACAAGGATATAAGCCATCATCAGTCCCTGTTTCCAACAAGAAATGTCCAAGGACCTGTAAGTGTTAAGCATGAGGGCCAGTGAAACTCTGGGTTGCCGGACTCTAAGCTTCTTACTACTCACTCTGCATTCCACTCTGCTGGAGCTCCTAGCAAACCTTGAAGGGAGAGCAGCATGGAGGCACAGCCATGCTGGAAGTTTCCTGGGTTGGTCTGGGAGGGTTGGCAGATGCTGAGCCCCTGGCCGGTAACCCCTGGATCAAGACCCCCTCGACACCTTAAGAGGAAGGCGACCCCCTGAGCTCCAAATTTGCATCCTGGACCCCAAGTCTGGAGCCTGATAAGCTTCCAATGAAGATCACAGATGCCTACCTGGTCACAAAACCTAAAAGGTGGAGGCTGCAGAGCATCTGAACATCATTGCGGGTGCAGCACGCATACTGACCTGCTGGCTGAGGCTTTAAGACAGCAGCAGCCAATATTCCAGCTGGACCAAGGGCCTTGCCTGTGTGGGGGAGGTGGAGAATAGAGGCCCTGGAAGCCAGTGTCCTGTTTACCATTCAGGAAAAGGTGTGTAGAAAATCACCTATGTGTGAAGGAGGACTGGTGACTGTGCAAACCCTGGACAGCACTGGAGCCCATGTATTTGGGGATTATAGTTCTAAAGCAGTGGTTCTCAACCTTGTCTCAACATTAAAATCACCTGGGGAGATTTAAAAAAACTCTTGAGGTCCAGGCCGCACCCCAGATCAGATGCCCAGGTAGCAGTGCTTTTTAAATCTCTGCAGATGACTTCAATGGACAACCTGGTCTAAAGTGCATCCAATGGCCAAGTGATGTAAGTCCAGCCTACAAGTGCTCTGAAGGCAGCTTGCGTTCAGTCACGGTGGGAAAGCTGAGGTGGTCAAGCGTAAACTACCAGCCACAGTCTGCCCAGTTAGAACGGAGAGGGCCTCCTGAAGCTTGGCTCACTGCCAGAGCAGTGCCCCTTTCAATTGTTAATTTTCCATTGTAGGGTACAATTGAGAAAAGACATGTGTGAAAGGCAGAAGGGAGAGATGGGACGTGGCAGACACAAAGATATAGGAAGAAATGATGTTCTCTCAAGCAGAAAAACACCAGGCTTGGAGAGATGGAATTCGGGTATTAATAGCAGATTGGAGACAGAAGGTGCCTGAATGTCCAGTCTCAGAGCAAGAGCTCTACTTACTGAGTGGATGATGCCTTGCAGAGCCTGAAAGCCGTCATTCACAGGAAACACATGATCCTTACTGTCCGCAATCCGGGCCAGCTGAGAACACAGCAAATACACAAACACATGGGGAGACTGTTAGGCTTGGATGTGGAAAATTTAGGAAAGCCGTTGGGGCTAAGAGGCTCTAGTTATATTCAGAACCCAGGGGAATATGAGGCCTTCACTGGGCTCAGGGGCTGCCCTGAAAAGCCATCAGTAATAACAAGCTCACCAGTGGCCTCTCTGGAGCAGGCCCAGGGTTGGCTCCAGCTTTTACATTTGTTTTAATACTTTTCTCCTCGGGAGCAGAGGTAAGAGTGCCCAGCTTGATCAATGCTTGGCCTGGGTTGATATGTTTATAAATCTGGGCCCAGGCCATGGGCTCATTTTTCTCCCATTCACCCAAATTCCTGTTGGCAACTTTATCTGAATCGAGCAGATTCAAGTTCCCTTTCAGAGCAACTTTAAATTCAAGCTTTGGTGTTGGGTGAGGCCACCTTCACCTTTCACCCAAACTGCCCTTAAGGAAAGGGCCCTTGCAGTTGGTTTGGTTGCTCCTGCTTTATGGAGCAGGAAACTGAGGGCCAGGAGAAGCCGATGTAGGGCTTGTCTGCCCCCAGATCTCTGTGTGGTTCTGTGACTGCCACAGAGTCAGTGTCAGCTGGTGTGTATGGCTTCTAAAAAAATATGTTTTATTGTTTTTACTGATTGCAAAAGTAATACTTACTCATTGTAAAAACTTAGGAAAATCCAGCAGAGTTAAAACAAAAAGAAAACAAACGTTACTCATAATCCTTCTGTCTGTTCATCTATCATCTATCTATCTTTATTAGCCATTTGATAGATACCATTCATACTTCTTCTATGCGAACATACAAATGTTTATTTTAGAAGTGGGCACATACTATTCTCACTGCTTTGTAATCCTGTTTTATTCACTTAATGATATATTATGAGCATTTTCCTATGCCATTAAAACAAAAAGAAACTATGAACTACATGAGGAACATGTATTTAGATTGTTAGTAAGTTTTTACAACTTGCTTATTATATGCACTTATACATACTTTTTTGCCCACTTGTCCAATTATTTCCATATTTTTGTGTTGAAAATGCATTGCATTTTTCACGGGTGAAAGGGAACATTTGTTATTTGAATAAGAAAATCATACTTGTCAAATTAAATTTGGCCAGGTGTGGTGGCTCATGCCTATAACCTCAACACTTTAGGAGGCCACATTGGGAGGATCACTTGAGCCCAGGAGTTAGACACCAGCCTGAGCAATACAGTGAGGCTTTACCTCCACAAAAAATTTAAAAAAATAGCCAAGTGTTGTGGTGTGCGTCTGTAGTCCCAGCTACTCAGGATGTGCACTGGTAGACCCAGCTAATCAGGAGACTGAGGCAGGAGCATCACTTAAGCCTGGGAGGCAGAGGCTGTAGTGGGCTGAGACAGCTCATTGTACCCCAGGCTGGGTGACAGAGTGAGACCCTGTCTCAAAACACAAACAGAAAAATAAAGAAGTTTTCCAAGTTAATTCAGATATCTTTTGACATTCTGGCAATTTAATGTTTGCCAAGAAAGATGCTGCCTTGATGGTCTCTGTTGAAGACCTCAAGAGCATCAGCCAATGAGTTCATTTTCCTTATACAACCAGTAATTCCTTCCTGTTTAGCATTTCTAGAAAAATAACCTATTTCAGGGGCATTTATTCCATTGATCTGCCCTCTGCACTGAACACATTCTTCATCATTCACAAGCTCAGTATGCTCCAAACCTGAGGAAACCCATGACCATACCTGTGTCTCATTGAAATCTTTCACACCAACACAGTAAACAATTGCACCAAGATCTCGAGACCTATTAGCCTGGGAAAAGGAAAGAAAGGACATTAGAAAGAGAAGCAGTGACAAATGAACTCATCTTGGAGCTACCTGACTAACTTCAATGATGAGGTATTTAATGAGCACCTACCATGTGCTAGGTGCCATATTGGAGAAGGCAATCCCTGTCCCCAAGAAGCTCAGACTTCAGTGGACATCACATTCTAACATAACACATGGTGGACCTGAAAAGACCCACTAGAGTAGAGTCTTGATGAAGGGCTTTGAAAGATGAGGGGAGGAAGGGAAAACTGCAGGCTAAGTTAAATATTCTGGGGAAATGATTACCTTTTCTGTTCCTTCGATGGATTTTTACTGACATACGTTTCTTTGTAATGGGGGCACGATATCATAAAAGAATGGGGCCTTTGGAACTTGAAATAGTTGAGTTTGACCCCTGGCTTTGCTCTGTATAGTGTTTTGGGGATTAAATGAGAACATTTACAGAGCTCCTCACACAAGGCTAGAACCACATAGATACTCACGAATGTCAGCACATTTTGTGAATAAAGCCTTTTTCATTCCTACAGAATAAGGTGGTTTAATGGAAATTGTGGTCCATATTTGAATAGCTAAATCCATGATCTCTACAATTAAGCACTGGGATGGCAACATAATGAATAATACCCAGATTTTGGCTCAATTTCAATATTGGATTTATTAAAGCCTCTGATAATCTGATTTCCAGATTCTCCTGTGTTTCAGAATGGAAAAAAAAATTGGAAATCCTTGGCACATACAGTGGGTGCTTAACAACTGATAGCAAACATACAGTGAGTGCTCAATATATGCATATTTATTTTGATTGTGTTATTTTTTCCCTTTCTTAGTACTCAAATCCACTTCTGTTTAACACTGAATTCTAGAAAGGACAAAAACATATGTCTTTTTTTCCTTCATGTTAGAAATTTCCCTGCTTTTTTGGGATAAAATAAACTTTTAGACTCAGTGTAGCCCCAACCTTATTTGCAACAACTCTGTGATTCTTCTCCTCCAGTTGGACTTTATATAGAATTGTCAAGAAGGGAAAAGTTCAATTTCTTTATATCTTGTGCTTTATCTTTCTTTTTCAGAAGGTCTCCTTCTATTGGCACTCTGAATATTTTCCCAAGTTTGTATGTGCCATACCTAAAATTCCTTCCCACTAACCCCTATCTTAAGCCTCTGACACCCCACCATTTATTTTAGTTTCATTTCTTTCCTTATTAGGGTTTTTACTTTATTTGACTGTTATTTGGCACCCAAACAAGCCATCTTGCCTTCCCATCACATAGTGAGTTTCTACTTTCAAATACAGAGATGCATTATTTTCCGAATGCTCAGGGAATGTCTGTCCTATTACCTTTTGTATTTCCTCGTTAGAGTTACTTTTTGCACTAGTGGGAGGAGAGTTTACCTACATAATTTCCCTAAGTCCTCTGCCAGTGGTGGCCTCCAAAGGCTGACCATTATTTCATGGTAAGACTCATGAGGGCAGCAGCTGTGTCTCACTCACCTCTGTGCCTCTAGTTTCTAGCAAATGGTCAAGTATATGCCAAGCTCTCAGTTAACACTGAATAAATGAATGAATATATAATTCGTGTTTGCAGAAAGAGCTGAATTTAAAGTAAATAGTTGTTAAGAGCTTGAGGAAAGTGTGATGCTATCGTTAACTCCTCTTCTAGAGCCTGCATCTCTAGGATGCTGTTTCTTTCTACCTTGGGCCTGAATGACCCTTTGTCACTAATAAGGCTATGGTTTCAATACATTTCTATGGTTAACTTGCTTCCTTTTATACTAATTATGCATATAGCTCAAATGTGAAACTTGAAAGAATTTCTTAAGTATAAACATCAGTATTCAATTCATCAGCAAACTTCTTTTTCTATTTACACAAGGTAAAATCTTCATTGAGAGAATTTTTCCACTTGCCTTGAGGAATAACTTTTGAGAACACAAAGAAAAGGAAAAAAAGGAACTATTAAAAGAGAGATGACAATTTAACTTTGCTACCAACTGCTGTTTAACTTCAGTTCTTAGAGTGAAAATCTCAATGATTAATACAGTCTGACAAGATTGGCTCTTACATATTTCAAGTAATTCTTTCCCTTCCTCCTGTTTTAGTAGAAAATATAAGGAAAAATTCTATCAACGTTTATTTATTTATAAGTGATGTACAGTACTTAAAAACTGTTACAGCAATATAATGCCATCAATAAAGGCAGGGTAGATATTTTGAATCCTTCAAAACAGAGTAATATGCAAAAATTTTGAAAGGGGAAAATATTTACCATGTGTAAGACATGAAAATTCACTTGTAGAACACATTATTATTATTATTTCTACATATGAAACTATTTAATTCAGGGGATTTGCAAAGAAACCCTATTACCTGAGTAGAGAGAGTGCGGCCCATTTTAGAAAGGAGAAGCCCTGTTCCACGGATATGTTTAGGCCGTTGCTTACCTCCCTCTCTGAATAGAAAAAGAGATCTTCATGGAGTTCTCCATCAGTCAAGGCAATGATGACGCTGGCTGTCCTGTATCCTGTTTAACACAATACAGACCGGCTCAGTCCACCCTGCCCCACCCCAGGGAAACACCCTCTCAGTCCCAGGATTCGACCTCTTATGAGTTCAGCCACCCAAAGTCAATATTATGAGGATCACCAACTTTTCTTTTGGGCCTGGAAGCGACTCCAGCATGAAGAAGGACCCTCCATGGGGACAGACTTTAGGGGCAATAGGTTTTGCTTTCGCATTTCTCAGCCTCATCTCGAAGAATGGCCAAACCTGGTGAAATGGTCACTAAACCAACATTTGGGAGTAGCACCGGTGAATCAAGTGTGATTATTTTCTGTTAGCAGACACATAACTGTTGCCCAAGCTGTGAGCAAACTCCCACCTGGGCTGTTCAGGAGTCCTTCTCACCTGCTGTAATGGACCACATACACCACCCCTTGAAGACAGTTTGGTGAAAGTAATAGTCATCCTGATTTCCAAGTTGACTGGAAGAATTATAGCAGTTGGCAAAACCTACTAAAATTCTTTCAGTGATTTTTAGGCTTCTCATATCAATGTTCATGGTTGATTTACATTAGCAAGATTTGGTATTGATAATGAGTCTGTTCTGTTGGTTGCAGTTTAGGATGCAACAAGAAATGGACACTTCTACAGGCCTGGGAGGAAAATCTCTAGTGTAATATTGAATCTCTTTTTTAAGAGATTTGACTGAGATACAGAAATGCTACTCACGAAAGACACTGTAGTAATAATAGCTAAAATAATAATAAAAATTTCTATGTGCTAGGCACTCTACTAAGTATATTTTATGCAGTTTTTTTCATTTAAATATAGGAAAGTTTAAATCAAACTGGTATCTTTTTTTTTCTACACAATAATTAGTTTAATAGGATTTAGCAAGACCCAGATGTTACTCTATTCCAAGAGGGTTGACATTTCTGCTCAATTAGTACTCAAGTTAGACATTCTAACTCAGGACCACAAGCATATATGGCAAATATCACTCCAGTAGGAATATTCTATTACCTGCAGGAAGTCCCTGTATGGTGAACAATTCTTGCTGATCCATGGGCTCTGCTGCAGGACTTAACCATGCTTTACTTTTACTTTTCTTTTTTTCTTAAGATATAAACTTAGTTCTGTAGGCACATGATGCCACAACGTGCAGGTTTGTTACATATAGTATACATGTGCCATGTTGGTGTGCTGTACCATTAACTCCTCATTTACATTAGGTATATTTCCTAATGCTATCCCTTCCCCCTTCCCCCGTCCCCACAATAGGCCCCGGTGTGTGATGTTCCCCTTCCTGTGTCCAAGTGTTCTCATTGTTCAGTTCCCATCTATGAGTGAGAACATGTGGTGTTTGGTTTTCTGTTCATGCGGTATCAAACTGGTACCTTGATCTTAATGTTATGTCCAGTCACGGTAAGGAAGAGGCTTGGAGCTCAGAGAAGGACAAGAAAATCATATTTTACATAAAAATCCAAGACTTTACTAACTTATGCAGGTATTTACTAATTTAATGAATTCAACATGCAAAACTGTTAATGGGAATTAGACTGTGGCCATAATGGGATCTTAATTACTTTTATATAACTTTTCGTGGCATCAACAGGACAGTGGAATTTGACCCAATACATGCCACTTTTCTATGCATTCCTTGTTTGTGATGAAATGTGTATCTAAGAATTACAGATAATATCATACATGTCTTTTGAAACATGAAATGACTGAAGCACTTTTTCAGCAACAAACACGGAAAAAGTTAAATAATTCATGATGGTAGTTCATACTATAGTCTTACCTTGTCTGTTTTCATAATAAATCTGCTCACTGGCCTGAAAAACATACGAAAGAGCCATTAGGCTTATAACCACTGTTTGCCACTCCAAAAACCATAGTGGATAATGGACTCTGTTATTGAATATGCAGCCAATTCAGTCTTGATTTCTTATGTAATTCACCCAGGCTTTGCTCAATTATCAGTGGCTGATATCTGTGTAAAGTTACCTCTCATTTAAGTAGTATACAGTCATGTGCTGCATAGCAATGTTTTAATCAAGGACAGACTACAAATATGACAGTGGTCCCCGAAGGTTATAACGGAACTGAAAAATTCCAATCACCTAGTGATATCTTAGCTGTGGTAACACTGTAGTTCAATGCATTACCATTTCTATGTTTAGAAACAAATATCATTAGTGTTACAATTGCCTACAATGTATAGTAGAGTAACATGCTGTATAGGTTTGTAGCATAGGGGCAATAGGCTATACCATATAGCCTAGGTGTATAATAGGCTATACTATCTAGGTTTGTGTAAGTACACACGGTGATGTCACAATGACAAAATTGCCTAACAAGGCATTTTGTTGAAATCCTTGTTAAGTGACAGACAGCTATAGTTGTCAATATGGATCGATGTCTTATTCCTTATGGCCTAGTACTTGTTTCCCTTAAAGCTGAAGTCCCTGAAATTCTGCCTCAATCACTGAAGCTGACATCCAACAAAGGACATTTTTGGAATGGCCGGACTTGTGTGTGGCGTGAATTTGTGACTGCTAGCCAACCATTAACTAACAAACCATTCATCAGGGTCAGGGAAGGAGGAAGGGAATCCATATGTTTAGTTCTTTTGGCTAGAGTTATCAGTGTACAAGCTTATGGGAAGAAAATGTACTCTCTTGCTATTGGGTGCTATTCAGCCCTCTTAATATATATGCCTTATCTCATCAGTCACCCCATGTTGATATTTCAATATCACGCTTTGTATTTGGATTTAAAGTTGTTTTAAAATTACCCTTTCAAATCCTTCATGCATGTAAGTGTCTCCTCCTGGCAGAACTTTCTGGAGTTCTTCTAGGCCTTGACGGATTTGTTCTCTGAAATCCAAAGACACTCTGTTAGTCTTATTTGAGCATTTTTTACTTTGCTGTTGTAGTCATATGTACTGGTCTTCTTCTTACCTCCGTGGATACTGCTGTATAGTCCCAGTAATTCCCCAAAAGCCTATCAAAGGGAAGGCCTTTATATTATCCATTCAGGGTCAGCCATAGCAGAGGATGAGTGAGATTTCAAGGATTAAGGGAAAGACTCTTCTGCAGGAATCTCCATCTGCTTGTAAACACTTTCCTTTCCCTTAACACAGACAGTGTTTTCCTTCTATACTGGAAATGAGTCTTTAAATGCTGCTCCTGATGGGACACACAGCAACTCAGGCAACAATGCAAATGGCTCATGTGAGCCAGAAAGAGGTGAGAACCGAGAACCCAGGGAAAGGCCACCGCAAGGACGCAGGTGGGAGAGGGTGGCATACACAGCAAACTGCCACTGCACGGGTGTGCCAAAGGCAACGGAAAATAAAAGCCCAAGGAATCTCCGCTTTCCCGGACAGCCAAGAGTGTTTTCTGTGCGCCGGTGGCTGTATTTTCTTACTTTGATTGTTCAAGGTGACAGTGCGGGCAGGAAGAAGAAGTGGGATATGGCATTGGGAAAGAGTCCAACTGGCAGTGGGAAATCTAAATGACTTGGGGGCCAAATGGAATCTTTGTGGACCATTCTCTCTGGGATGTAAGAAGTCTATATTCATGTTCCTGTCTTTTAAATAGCTCCACATTGTGCCAAAAAGGGCAATAAAGTATAATTTCTGACTCACATACCTTATTCATAAACTGTAACGCTATGAAGGGTTTAAAATTTTGCCTTCTTCCTACTGGGGTCTTTTTAGTAGTAAGGGTGGAGATGCTCTATTTAAATTAGGAAGAGAAACTCCTTTTGAATAGGAAAAAATCTAACATTTATTGAACATCTGCTACATACAAGGTAGTGACCAAAGATTTCTGATTTCATCCTCATAACCACCACTGAAAGTGGGTATTACTGTCCTCACATTACAGGTAAGAAAACTTGGGCTCAGAGAGGTTAAGTAGGAGAGTGGAGACTTGAAGTCAAATCTATCTGACTCAAAAAAGGCTTTCTCCTCTGCAAAGCAGCCTGTAGCATGGAACAATGCTAGAGAAGTGGGAACCTTGCATCAGTGAAAGGCAATGGCAATTTCTAACACTGTCTGGGAACTTAACGGCTCTGAGAACTTATGGTGCCAGACTCTGTCTAAATACATGAAATACAATCAATCCACTTAAGCCTTATGACAGCTCTTTGAGGTAGTACTATTGTTACTGCCATTTCATAGATAAGAAAACTGAGTCACAGAGAGGTTACAGAACTTACCCAAGGCCCATCTTACCTAAGGCACAGGTGGGATTTAATCCCAGAGGCCCTGCTCTTAATCAGTATGATAAATACTCTCTTTTTCTGTCATGTTTATCCTGGCATTGCTTGGAGGGGGAATTCTAAAGAAAATAGTATCTTTTGTTAAAACTGATATGATAGGGAGACCATGGGTAAGGGTGGATCGCCAGACTGCTGGAGATTTTAAAAGACAAACTGAAAACAGCCTGTGCCTGTCCCTGGGCTGCTGATGCTTCATAGGTGGAATATTTAATACCAAGTAACTCAGACTTCAGAAACTGACTATTGTCTTTTCAATACCCATGTATCAGACCACACACCCAGCTCCCCAAGTCAGAAACTGGAAGCCCTCCTTGATCCACTACCTTGACTTTCTTTCCTCTCACCATCACCACATTCTGTTAGTTCTACTTCAAACATATCTCGAAATGGACTACTTCTCTATCTCTTTGGCCAACACCATTGTCCCAGCCGCTATCATCTCTTGCTTAGTCACTGGGGTAGTCACCTGCTATCTTTTGACTGCCCTCTTGCCTCCTTTTCCATTCTTTCTCCATAAGGCTGCAAGAATGTCCTTAAAGTACAGATCAAACCATGGCATTTACTCTCTGGCTCAAAGCCCTTCAAGAGCAACCCATTATACCTAGGATTATATCCCAAATTCTTGTCATGACCTTCCAGTGCCTATGTGGATGGCTCTTGCCTCCCTGTGCAGCCTCATCTCACATCACTGTGCCCCCACTCTCTTGCCTTCAGCCACACTGGTCTTCCCAAGCCCCTTTCTCCAATAGGCACTTCATAACAGCAATCACTGCTGCCTGGGAACACTATTTGACCAGCTCTTCATGGAGCAAATTCTTATTCAGGCTTCAGTACTAAGTTAAATGCCACTTGCTAGCCACTTGAGTAGTCTTACTTGACCTTCCTAATCTGAATTGTCTTCCTCTATTAGACTTTTTCCTGGTACCCCACAATTTTTGCTTTATAGCACTTACGATATTTTACAACTAATAACGTTTGATTATGCAATTATTAGTTCAGGTTTTGTTTATTTGTTTCAGTTTCAGACTTTAAATTCCTTGAGGACTGGGCCATGGCTGTTTTGGTCCCCACTATATCTTCTGCGCCTACTACAGTGCCTGGAACATAACAGACATTCAACAAATACTGAGGGGGTGAGTGGAGGGAATGGATGTCTCCACTGTTACTCATTCTGGGAAGAAACCATTTTGGGGCAGGGATGAGCTTCCCTTGGCCATGTGGAAGGAGGCCAAGCATGACCTGACCTGGACATTAGCTAGATCTGGTCACTGACAAGTCTGGGCCCATGTGGTGGTTAAAAATCATTCTCTATGTTATATCTCTTACACTACCTCTAATATTCCAATAAATCCCATCAAAAGGCATACTTTAATTTCAAAGCCTGTTGTTTGGTAATGAGAAAGAGTATATATCCTGGAGGACAAAGATGAGGGCAGTGTCCCCCACCAAGGCCATGCCAGGGGCAGTGCATGGCACCAGCAATCCCCTGGCAGGGGGCAGCTCTGCCCCATGGTTTGGCAGTTTCATGAGGGTCCCAGCAGCAGAGGTAGTGGCAAGGGGACATGAGGGGGAGGCTGGGATAGGAAAATTGGGGTCTGTTTGTGAGCACACAGAGTTGGCACCATAGAACCCCTCACAATAGCTGTGGGGCACTATGGGGCAGAGGGATAATTTCTGATAGTTAGGTGGGAGAAGCTTGGGCATTAAAAGTAAATATGATCTAATTTTTGGTCATGGACTAGTGAAGTCTGGGACATTTGGGTAACACCAAATGTGGAATATTGTGTTAAGACTTGAGATTTAAAAAGAGGGCAACAACAACAACAACAACAACAACAACAACAACAAAGGCATCTTGGGGGTGTGGAAATATTTGTTTGGCTTCACTGTATTTCTTCCCTACCAAATAAAGTCTGGGAACTGGGGTATTTTCTCTAAGCCTATTTCCCTTTCTTTACAAGTATTTTCTTAAGGTTTGCTTTTTTTTTTTTTGGTACCAGAACAATCAAAGGCTGTTTTGGAAAATGTCCTTATCCTTGATGCTTTGTATCTGGCAAGATATGAACTCACTAGTTGCGAGTGGCGAACACAACCTCCCCATTATACCGCCCTTACTGCTCAAAAGATCAAATAACACATGGCCCCGTCTCCCCACTCTCTGCCCTTCTTGAAGGACCCACAACATCTAAGCAAACAAAATGTTTGGTTTCATAGGAATTGTGGGTGTGTTTTAGTTCTGGGACAACAGAACTATTAATAAGGGTCTATTTTTATTTTCTCTTGGAAACTGAAGGACATTGGGAGAAAGATCTTTCAAGGGATGATAAGAACCTCTCTGAGGACTTGGTTATTACCAAGTGAAATGTTATCTTCCTGGGAAATGAAAGAGGCAGGGCATCCTATGAAGACAGGCTGCTATTACAGAGCCCCTGTTTTCCTTGGTGATTTCACATGTCTGCCAGTGTTCCTACTTAGAAGCTAAGGGTTTTAGGCCACATGTTTTGTGTTCCTTTTGCAACTTCCGCTACACTTAATGACTGGCATCAAGCAGGTGACTGTCAAATGAATGATTCCAGTTTGGGTGCATTAACCCATCATTCATTATTGGCCACTGCTATTTGTTGAGCATACACCATGTACCCAGCACTATGCTGGTTTGCAGGGGTAGAAGATGGGAAGAATCAGTCACAACGTCTTCTGGGCTTTCTGCTGTTCTAGGAATTTCTCTACTCTTCATGATTACTTTCTGGGATTCTGGTTGTGTTATGACAGTTTGATAACGTTGCTGATGAAAACATTAAAAGATGAACACACAAGAAAAAAAAATTAAATAAAAAAAATAGCCGGGCATGGTGGTGCATGCCTGTAATTCCATCTACTAGGGAGGATGAGGCAGGAGAATCACTTAAACCCAGGAGGCAGAGGTTGCAGTGAGCCAAGATCACGCCATTGCACTCCAGTTTGGGCAACAAGAACAAAACTCTGTCTCTAAAAAATTAAATAAATAAAAGAAAGAAAGAAAATTTAAATAAAAGATGGACACATACAGAATGTCAAGAAGTGCTTCAACAAGCCTTTATCCCGAGTATTCTACTGAGGTTTCCACTGCAAAATCTCCCTTAGGATTCTGCAGTGGCTACCACATTTTGGTTCTATAAAAACAACCTCCATCATCATCCAAAAATAACCCAACATCAGCTCTGCATTGTCAACTTCCTAGTCTTCTTGTAAAAGAGCTTTGTCATTTCTGGTAGTCTTCCTTCTTCTTTCTTTATTTCAAATTTGTTTTTGTGGATCTAGTTTACACCTGGTATCATTTTCCTTCTGTGGAAATGGACTCTTCTCAAATGCTTTGCAGTTGTTGGCTTTGGTTCTCAACTTATACAGTAAACACCTATCACTATTTATTACCACTAATGCTACTCTTGGAACATTTCCAGATGGCCTTATGGCTCCAATTGTCGACTCAAGAAAACAGTGTAGTGAACAGAAGAACACAGATTAATTAAAGACATTTTGCTGTTACTTTAGGAGTTATTAAGTTCTACAACCAACTGTAATCATTTGTTTACAATGTATATAAAACATA